TAACAAATAATCAATAAACTAACCAGGATAATCTTGTTGAAAATTGCCGATTCATTATCGGATCGATGCAGAAACATCACTACTGGCGAATAAGAAATCTAAATTAATGTATTTTCTCTCATGACTGTGGTTTTATTTTGAATGGCAGTTAGCTCGAAATGAAATTTATTAACTTACCAGCGATTCTTCGATAGATAAGACTTGATCTCCAACTTGTAATTCATCAATCCGTTTTATCTGATCAGGCGTCTGTACAGTTGTATCTCCGCTAAAGCACTGCAGCGTTTCAAAGTAGCCATTATAATACTAAAAGTATGTATGCAAACTTCTGACGTTAATATTACTGTTTTACTTTTAACTTGATATTTTTTTTAAAGGAAAAAATTTTTTTCAGCATCAGCTGATACAAAATATTTGCAAGGAGACATAGCTTACCGGTACATTATCGCTACTGTATGTAGGCACAGAGTGTTGTGCAACAGTTAAAGATCTTGTCTCAGATGGTATTACACCTCTTTGAGGTACATATTGTAAACTAGAATATGTTGGTAACAATTGCCCGGCTGCTGGCTATAAAAAGAGTCTCCAAGTATCTCAAATTTCTGATAAGGTGAAAAAAATGACATAAGAATTATGTTCAGTAAGTTATTTGCAGAAAAAAGAGTTTAATTTTAAGCAATACCTTGAACTCACTTCAGATTTACACAGATGTTCAATCAGAGAAGCTGTACTTTAATATGAACTGATTAATTGTTAACATATTATAATCATTTATAAGAACACCTACAGTAGCTGATAGTTGATTGAAAACTTGTGCTTGAGCAGAAGTGATTGAAGTCACTGTGGTATCACTATCGACAAACTGATGATAGTCATTTTCAACTGCATTCTAAATATAAAAGCATAAAAAGTTCCATAAAAAATAGCAAATTATCATTTTTAAGAAATTTTGAGCATACCACTGGTGTAAATTCATTAATAGTTGGAGATACAGCTGCAGCAGCTACAGCAGGACGATTGCGCCCTACTATGCCCAAGTTGATCGGCCATAATCCGTCTGCTATTATCCTAAAATGACTTTCCCTCAAAGATAATTGCGCATACGCTGTCTAGCCACACTTTTAAAGTAAATTCCGTTTCTTTTTCATAGGATTTATGACTGAATATATCTAAAAGATTGATACCTGCGATGCACAGATGGACGCCTGAAAATGACAGGATCGTAATCATAATAGTCATAATCTTCGGCAATAGGTCTATAGAAAGGTCTTCTACGGAGTGAAAACATCCTTCGATGAGCCACTCGATGTCTGGGTGAGAATAAATCATCCAAATTTTCATCTTCCAGAATTGTTGATCGTCTGTTTAAATGTTATTCAAACAAAATCAAGAAACTCTGAAGGAGCAGGAGTAAATCTAACAAGAATAAAATACAATCCTAGTTTTTAAAAATCGAAAAACGTTTCATATATTTGTTGTTCAGAATATGCCTGCATTTCTGGAAATGTAAAATATGAAGTTGTTAGGAAGTATAGTGCCATGAAGGCAATTAAACAGCAAAATGAATAAAATTGAAATAAAATAATTACCTTCTTGGTTTTGAATATTTCGTGTGATGCTGATTTGTAAAAACATATTCTTCTGTATCATATTCTGATGAAACATCTACTGTTGGTGAGTCTGATTCACTAATCTTATCAGCTAATACTATAATTATTGTTATTATTGAAACAGTTTTGTTTTATTCTAGATTTAAGCATGAAGTAAATGGAGAGGAAGAGTCAATTTGGATTAGGCAAAATGTTGCAGACATCAAAAATTTCTTAAATTTGAATTCCAAAAAATAGATCAAATGAAATCATGGCTTGCAGACATTTCTCTAATTCCTTAACCATTCCCACTCGAAACATCTGTGTAACCATACTTTTTCGAAATATTGAACAATAATCAAACTTATTTTATCTCAGATGATTTAGAAACTGAAATTAGGAATCGCTAATTCTGCATTTATTATTGTTCAACATAGAAATAATACCAAAAAAAAGAAGACCGTGTACGACTTTGAAGAGTTTCAATATTCTTAATGGAGAAATAAACACGCATTTAGGATAGGAAAATAATCGCTGTGGTACTATACAGTAGTAAGTAATTCAAATTTAGTTAACTGAAAACAGAAAAGATATAAATAATGAAAATGCAAACGAACATTTATTTTTGATATCTATTGGTTTCGGAATACATGCTAAGCGCATTATTTTCAATTCATAGCGAGGCCTAAATATGAGTGCAAAAAGGGTGAGTAACATTTTTAGGTTCGGATAAAATAGATAAATATTATGGAAATGAAGTCCTGAAGATTAATCATTTCATGGAAACTATTTGGAATAATAATTTGATATTGACATTTACAGTTGTATAAATATGAAAATGTTCTCGTTAAACTAATTTAGAAGTTATTATCAGTTTACTTCAATATTAGTTGGTAGTGCAAAATTTTTAGACTGATTAAGTTAATCAGTAGTTAAAAGGAATAATTTACTGATGAATATAATTAAAAGTATGGTATTATTTAGAAAAAAGTTTAACCTATGCTGTTCGTCGAATGAAAGATTTACTTCCTTGATTAGGTCAAATGCCACTCTACGGCTATTTTGATATACTTCTCCACCTGTATAACTCTCATCATTGTTAACAATCACTGTGTTTATTGCTCTGGCATGTCGTAAACCCTCATAATTGCAGCATTTCCATTTCAATCTTCAAAAAAAAAATTTTAATATTCAGAATTCGTCAGACATATTAAAATCTATGACGAGCAATTATCAAAATTTCCAATTTACCTAACACTGTTTCCGTCATCTTCAAGAAGCAATCCAACCGTCCATTGTGTTTCTCCAGTACAACTGCTGTTCTGATAGTATTTTAAACATTCCTAAAAATATATCTGGATAAATTTATAAGTCTGGATAAAAATTATAAAATCTGGATAAATTTATAATTATTTTTATTAGAAGTCTGAACTTTATAACATAATGTAAAATAATAATTTACTGCTTTATGAATATGATTTTCTGATCCGAACAAGCTCTTTGTTTCGGTTTCCGTTTCCTGCATCACATCATCACGCTTCAATTCATATAACCTTTTTTCGCCGAAACAAACTGGCGAAGTACATAACAGGACTGAAAAATGATTTCATGCAATGTCTACCGAGAAAAATATTTTATTATTTTCAAATATTCTCTCCGAGAAAGCAAAATCCTAGAATATCTTTAATGATTTGAGACAAAAAAAATGTAAGTATAAAAAATATATTTTCAAAAGCTTCAATATTTCATTAAATTTAGAATTGCCAGTGTTGGAGAAGGAAGGATATTATAATATTCCTTTGTCAATATGAAATCAATTTTCATAGATTTGCACAATTAAATGCCAACTTATATCAGAAAACCTATAATAATATATAACTGGATAAACTGTTTATCATTTCTTCCAAATGGCTGAAAAAACATAGCGATACTTGGATTTCCAGTTTTATCATTTTGAAATGAGAATGGAATTGTATATTCACTGCATGATGAATCGATTGCGGATTGTTGCTGACTACTGGCTATTTTTACCAAAATCAGTATCATCGGGAGCAACATTTTGTTGGGAATTGAAAATCCCTGTAACTATTTGCCAACACGACGAGTGCATATTTCGAATAATCATTTTATAATGCACTTTCAAATCTGCAGAGAGACATTCAGTCACAGAAGCAACTGATGCTTTACATACTTCTAATATGTAAAGTTGTTTGACGCAGCTTAAAGTATTAAGTAATCATTTTTTCTGGACTGGATTGATATAATAGTTAAAGATAAAATTCTTAAATATGAGATTATCGGGTATAGTTATGCGAAAATGTAAAAAAAATAACAAAGCTGACCAGAAATTAAATCAAATTATTCTATTAAATATTTCAAAAAGAAATTCAAATTTAAAATTTCAATCAGCATGGTTTACTACTAAAAGGAGACAATCTCAGCAATAAATATGCCATGAAAAATGAGATGCCGGCTGTAAGAGGAATGAGATGTATCTAAATGACAACTTTATAATAACCTAATAAGGGCAATTCTCATCTTTTCACAGATCACCGATTGCCCCATATTTTTCATGGCTAATCGGCCAGCGACATCCCTTAACAATACAAGAAAATATTTCAACTACATATTGATGCCATACAGCAACGAAATATTTATTCCTCGGCATATTCTATTATTATTGACAAATAGATGTCATTGCACAATCACTATCACAAAAAATAAAATCACATCTTTCTATTCGTTTCCAGAAATTATGCCAATTTTTTTTTACAGTTTCATTCAACGGCAGTGTATCTGAACATCAATGACATAATTACTGATTAATCCTGTACTTTGGTAGTATCTGCACATTAATTCTCGAAAATTATTTTCTCGTTAAATCTTTTGCAAAACATAATTTACCATTGAAACTTCATGTATAAATGATGAAATCTTTTGGACATATGTTTGATTGATTTTTCCGTTTCATTCAATTTTTTTGTGTTTCTTAGAGCATATGTAATCTTCAGTACATAATGACTAATCGTTGATAACAGCATGATAACAACAAAAGAAATTAGTGCACCATTAAATGGAGAAATTTAATTGAACGGAAAGGTATTTAAGTGCATATTTCCCGTAATCTCAGGTAAGTGCATTTAGCATATAAATTGATAAAAAATCATTACCAGTACCTTCCACTGATTTACGTGTGTAATGCTTGACAAGTTTGTATCTTTTTGATATAGTGAAAGACCAGTAAAAAAAATAAATGTTTACCTATGACTTTAAGCTACCAGAATTCTCAAATTTGGTCTTCGTTAACAATCCTTTATATCAGTACTTCGTAGCAAGGTGGGATTGGTTTGGTTTTGATCAAGGAAAAGTCCTGTAGTTAAGTTTTGTTAATAAGTTGACAATGCTTTTTAACCGACCACAACTTTTACTCAATTTTACAGTTTATTCAACAACATGTCTAAAAACTTCATAATTCATCTGTTTACAGTCAGTATATATAAAATACGAGCAGTGATTCTGTTAATTATTGTGACTGCAAAATTAAATAGAAATTTATCGAGAATGAAAGAAAAGCCAACGGTAAATGGAAAAGAAAAAACTTAGGGTGAACAAGCACACTGTCTAAAAGATCTCAAAATTTCGAAAACTATCACTGACTTATGGCTGCTTTCCTTTCTGACAACACCGCCATGAAGTAGAACATATGTGTTTTTAAAGAGATACGCTCATACACAATGCCCAAGCATACTGCTTGGTATTTACAAGTAAATGCCTCATATTAAACACTATGAAATCTGACAATTGATTCTGATACCATAAAATATCCGGCTGCTTCATCAATATGATTACTATATCATAAATACAACTCGAATCAACTCATAGTGTGAGACACAACTCTTAATTTTAAAATCAAAAGTGTAAAGTTTAGACATTTGGACAGTCCGAAAAGTTTTTTTTTGCCGCCATGAAGCAAAACATGACGGCCTAATTATCTTAGCCAATATCGAGATCGATCCTGCGCATAAATAGAATTCTGTTGATGTAGAAGACCATGCTTTCTTCCATTAATTATCTAACATTTGCCTCTGGACAATATCAGCAGAAAATTGTTGTGCCTGACGTCGAACTCTTTTTTCGTACTCCACTCTAAAAAGCTTTATAACAGCCATTTAAATTTGAAAGTTTCGGAATGTTGAAATGTGCATTATTCCAAAAAAGCAAGCATTCTTATAAACTGGATCAGCAGTTCAACTTAAGTTAAAGACCACATGTAAAGTGGTATTTACTCTCAACCGAACACCAGAAACTGAAAGTTCACTAACCTATTCTGACAGTAAATTTGATAGGCATCGGCTTGAGCTGGGTCTTCAACATTAGGATTTGTTAGAAGGTCTTGAATACCAAGCAAGAGTTGTCGTACACTTACAGATGGTTTCCAATCCTGAAACAGTAAAAGTCTACAGTAACGCGAAGTTCATAATGACCATGACAATAAATGATTAAGTTGACAAAGATTGTGAAACAACTGTAACATCTCAATGATTTCGTTGAAAAATATTTGCTAGTAAAGTCGAGTCATGCTGCAACATTAAATCTTAAAAATAGCTGGATTGCTTTCTTGACGAAAATTGATCCATCAAAACTAAACTTTTCAGGCCTTAACCTAATTTGTAGTTGAAAAGAAAGAACTTTACAATATGGACTTTTTAAAGTAAACTAATGCAGAGCAGTCTAATATTTCATGAAATACTCAGTTCACATATCAATTTCACCCATGCCACGGACCTACAACGAAACAAATCCATAAAACAAAACCTCTTTTCGACAGACCATGGGTGAGAAATCAATAAGGGAAGTGTTCGAAAACATTTGTAAAAAAAATTCGAGTTAACTTATATTCTAGAAACATGTGCTAAAAACTTTGAAAACACACCTTATTTTCATCTAATAGCGACAAACAAACAGTTCCTGAAGGATACACATTCGGGTGAAATAAAGGAGGGTCGAATTTGCACTTCGGTGGTGTAGAGGGGTAGTCATCCTTAAACTGCATCTTAATCTGCAATGATGTTATAGTACCAGAATCAACTCCAGAACGGAGGGAGAAGTAAAATGAACATCCTGTCTTCAGAAAAAAATTCAGGTAGCTACTGAATTGGATGTTTCCTAATCAAATTCAAAGTGTAATCTATAACCAGAAAACAATATTCACTTGTAGTAATAAATAAGTCACTAATAAATAGACTGAATGATAAATATAGGATAAAAATTTCTGCTAAGTCAGATTTCCCAAACAGAAGTGAAAATAAAATTCGCCTTGTACAGACCGCCTTCCCATATAGTTCCTTTCTTGCCAGGAATGGCACACTCCCAGTTGAAAAGATTTCTCGTGCCATCAGGATTTGACGAAGGTTTTGCGATGAACCCAAATGGGTGATTTTTCCGCCACGCTTTCCGTTCTTCGGCTAAACGACCTGCAGCAATACCGGCGGACATTTTGTACGGCTGTTACACTAAAAAGCAAAACAAACACATTACAACACTCTTGTTGTGATGATAACAATCTTGCAACTCATATATAACCTATCTCCTCTTATCATTATGAATATAAAATGTAATGAGGTAATCACCTACGATTGTCTAGTACAGTACTTTTCTAATAATCAATTAATACATACCTCAGTTTATCTCAGCACAATATTCGAAGCAGACTAACGATTGCTTTCTTTGCAACAACAGCCATGTCCCTCTGTCGGTCAAAGTTCAAGGAAAAAAAATCAAAAAATAAAACGATCTACGACACCCACTCAACTGATATATTCTAAACAATTCGTAAAACCTCCGCTTGCCTACCACAGAAAACTCACATGGGTAACACTATCAGCACCGAACAGTAATTAGGAATTCCATTCAGGAATAGAGAAGTTGTGTAGGAGCACAAAATCAGTGATAGTGATCTGTTATGATAATCTGAAGACATTTATTTCTTAGATGGTACCTATCGTTTGGTTTAGCAGTTAGCTGTGTATTACAAATTCTATACTCAGGCTTAGCGCGATTACTACTTGCTGATTATAATTATGCAAGTGCTTGACAAGCTGAACGATAATGCAAATGCAGCATGTATAAATGTATTAATTTGTATTGGTGTATTCTATTATTTCTCTACCAATGCAACATAGCAAATTAAAGATCATTCAACTGTTCGTCCTCATTTATTTAATGCGCTATTGACCACTCATTCTTCTTATCTTGCAAATACTTTCCAAAACATTGTCTGTTACAGCACTCAATGAAATTGTCATTTTCATCATTTTTTTTTCTCCCCAACTCATATTCAAATTTCATTTCATTTTCTGTCATTCCATCGAACGTTATGCTTATACCATTGACCATCTCTAATAAGCTTTCATTGCAACATTCATTATGCAAACAGATAATCATCAAGATTTCCAGGGCCATTGTAGTATTATGCACTGTGAAAATTGCCTATTAATATCAAAAGTATTTTCATATCAAAAGCAATGTCGATATTGCAACGTAGATTACAACGACGTATTTTGCATACGCAGCATAAAGCTAGATCTGATATGTTAAGTCTTTTACTATTATGGAAGTATAATGAGTTTGTATTTAAATATGGATTTTGTGTGAGTTTTTTTTATTTAGAATTATCACTTTTTTATTTAATAGTAATTAGAATTATTCGATTATGGTTGGAGCAGAGCGAAATACTGCGAAACATTTGAGACATTGAGTAAAAAGTTGGCAAAAGATAGTGTCAACTTTTTTGAAAGGATGGATGCTTCCAAAAAAAAAGAAAGTTGAAGAATTCGCTGAAAATTATGTTATTCTTATCGGTTTGACTACATCTTGGTCTGCGGCCACATTTCGCATTGGAATTTTTGAGTTTTCGCTTATTTTGTGCTGCATACATAGTTTTTTTTTTGCTTTTTGTGTGCATTGAACTTTCGCCTAGTTTATCTCGAAATTCATTTTTGTTTGACTAGTTAATGGTGTTAGAGACACTTGCACAGATCCATTGTTGACCTTACCACATCGAAAATGTTTTAGGAGAAAAATATTCGTATGAAGTGAGGTTTATGTGTTTCCTACGTATCGATACTGTCAGTTCATTATTCTGTCGTGATTTATTTCGATGCTACTAAAAAAATATCACAATAAAAGATTCAAATATAGTGAGGAAGATGACAGTTGTTCCGTAAAATTGAAAATGAAATATTTTTTGGAATACATGAGACAGACGGTTGACGACAGTCCGCTCTGTGTTTGATAGTACATTTGGCGAGGTTTATAAATAAATTATCCCTTATTCTTCACTTGACTTTTATGCATTCTACTCGTGTAGTGATAGCTACTTCGCTTCGCCCTTAAAAAATGTATGCATTTAATGCTTGATTCACACATATTTCTGATGCTCACAGTTCTGACATTGGATATGATTCGATATTTTGTTTTCAGCGCCACAAGGTAAGACGTTTGCTGGAGGGCTACTATGTGCCACATGCGGACGACTTGTTTCGTTATGCTAATGAGGATCGGAGGCCGCATACTGATAGTTTATTACAGGATCTTCCTGTTCCGGAACAGGAATACACGCACGTTGACCTTAGGGACCAATGTTTGGAATGCTCTTGTGAAAGATTCCAAAAAGTTAGTTTTCTGTAATCGTTAATGCATGGATCTTCTCATTGTTTAGCTTCGTGGAAGTTTTAAATATCGTATTTCATTTCAAAAGAACTGCAAAAGCTGATGGCCAGGAAAAGTACAGTGATCGCAAAAAGTGATGATTTAATATCTAGATTTTGAATATATTTTCTTACAGACTATCGTGGTATCTTTTATGGAGGCTCGATAACTTGATGTATCATCATAGCATTTAAAATCATCTTTTTCTTCTCTTGCTGGTGCCCTGATTGGTTCAAGAAGTGGAAGAAACCTACAGAAATATTTGTTCCGAGCAATAAGTATCCACAAGTTTTTAAAATACATTTAGGAAGAAGCAAATCCAAATAAATTTAGGAAGAAGTTGGGCATAAAATAGAATCAGTTCCTCAAATACGAAATTTCTTATAGGATGGTGGGATGTTGTTTTGAACTTGACTGATACGGTTGCTCTTACTCAAAATTTTCGTTCCAAACTGGATTTATCTTTGCTTTTGTTTAGAATGCTAGCTAGAAGACCAAAGCTTTGCTAGCTGGTTAAAATGTTTACGGAAGATTCGATCAAACGTCCTATTCTTTGTTTTGTTGTTAAACATTACTCTCATTAACTCACGTTTGACGTGTACTGGGTACATGTCATCCAATGATTCAAGTTATCTCAACAGAATCTTCTGATAGTGAGAGTGAAAGTTTGGACCAACCACTTCGAGAGCAGTCTTCAAGCACCAAATCAAGAACTACTACCAAACGATTCATTTTTTTGGAATTCTGAATGTAAGGTTTGTTTAGGACTTCTTTCATCCTCAAAAATATTGGATAGTTTTAGGGTCATTTGGCCATCAAGAAGGAGAACATGCGAAGTGTGCCGCAGCTCTGCATCTCTGGCAAAGATATATTGTAGTCCATGTAATAATCGAGTCATTAAAAAAACTGCGCGCCTAATTTCTGCGTAACTTTTCTATTATTTACATGCTTTTACGTTCGAGATGTTAGGCATTTGTTGTTTTCTCATTTGTATAATTTATAAGCGGTACAAGCATGGTGACTGAATATTAATTGTAGTTAGTGTATTCAGGACAGAGGAACAACAGAGAGGAAAAACGATAACTTGTAGACAGAGAAGATAAAACATGGTTCAATTTCAAATATGAACTCGATGCCAGCACTGCAAGCAAATATGAATTTTTCCTATATGATAAAAATTCAATGAATTATGATAATTTGTGAATCAAGTGAATGGAATGACCAAAGTTGAGACCTGAAACTTGAAACATAACAAAATATAAAATATCACCTAAACTGCCTAAATATTGTACCCAGATTCATCGGCTACATAATAATATCTGGTTCTGGAACGTTCGTCGTTATTGCTTTGTGCGGCAACACTCTTGCACCATTCAGGTATAATTCATCATTTACGACAACATCGTCGCCAATAACGCAGGTATTTTCAATTCGTACCCACTCACCGATTGAGCACTACAAAATTACCAAGGCCTTCACAACTCTCAGAGATTACATGTTAGAAACATCACAATTCTCGTATTTCACTTGTTTTTAGCAAAGCACCAAAGGATTACTTTTCTGCCAACAATACTGCTATTGATCCAAGAATGAGTGCGCACCATACTATCTGATAAAATGGTACAGTGACGCAGACAAACGCCGTTTTCAATTTTTACTCGTGGTCCTATTACAACATCGGGTCCTAAAAACAAAATGTTTGAACAAAGTTGCTGAATCAACTACATTCAGAAAATGAAGTGACCAGAAAATCCATGCCAGATAAATTTTTAAATTGACCGATGGGTGGGATCAGCGAAACAGCATCAACGCAGTGGATTTCCACTGGCCAACATCAATGAATCTGTCATCTTTGATGTAGGTACAATGATTTAAAGCAAACCTATTCTGCAATCACGGCCGATATCTGCAGTTCCATCTACAATCACATTGCCGTTTATATGACTACCATGAGCTAGCAGCGATGGCGATTTGTCGCGAAGATATTTCAAGTACAAACGCATACCTACAGTGCTAAGAAAAGTCAAGGACTTTGGAAAGTAAAATTACCTGGAAACCTAGCAATATCAACTGAAGAAAGAAAAGCAGGTAAACAGCACCAATGTTATGAAAAGGATAGATAATCGAATTCAAAAAGAAAGATCCATATCGCGCAAATTACTATGCTTTGGTGTGAAATGATAGATTCAAATACGTCAATAATATAATCCTAAGCCGAAGCGGGAGTGATAAAGAAATTCTGACCAGTCAAGAAATCTTTTGGCTGTCCCACATCCATCCAGAATCCCGACAACTCAAATGCATACAATTCTCCATGTTTAGCCATCTCCGGAAAAATCTCTTTTTCAATCGAAGTTGGGCGTAATGATATTCGATCCAGTACGGATGGAGAAAGAATGTACAATCCAGCGTTGATCTAAAACTATTTTTCTGCTTCAGTATTTTGACAGGGAAAGAATGAATTAGTTTCAGAAAATAAAACCTTATTTCCAACATATTCTTCGGGTTTTTCAACAAAACTATCGATGTTTCCAGTTTTTTCACTGAATACACAAACACCATATTTGCTTGGTTCTTCAACCTAAAAACACATGGCACTCTTCAGTGCGCTGTTGAAAAAGAAACGTGAAATCAACATTATTTAATCATGCAAATTTTTTTGAATGTTTTCATATTAATAGATTACTTAAATTTAAAAAGTACCTTGGTAACAGCGATGGTCCCCTCATGACCGTGGCTCATATGAAACTGAATCATTTCACGAAGTGGAAATTCACATATAATGTCAGAATTCAGCACAAAAAACGGTTCATTTCCTTCTAATCGATCTTTTATCAAAGCCAGCGGTCCAGCTGTACCCAACGGTTCTTCTTCCAATGAGAAATATACTTCAATACCTAGAGAAACATTGTAAATGGACCTTTCACAAAAAAAAGCCCCCAGTTAAAACTGTGCTAGGCACAAATAAAAGTAAGCTTACCTACAATCTTGTTACTCCTTCTTTCATATTTTTTAATCGTTAAGTCGTTCACCGCCTTCAACTTCCGAAAGGATTTTAACTAAATGTAAAGTTTTTTTTTCAGATAATGTACTGAGCAAATTCTGAAGCAAATTCTATCTTAGTTAAAACCTTATTACAAATTATAGATCCTTTTTTTAAATATAATAACATACAAAGATTAATTCCAATTCTTTGCAGTTCTACTATGTCGCATTCCTCAATTTTACGATTCAAAGAAAGTAAAAGTTATGTCGTTGAAACACATCTAAAAATTTACAATTCTTTCAATTTGGATGTGTTTCAACAATATAATTTTTATTGGTATTAAGTACCAAGCTGATCAGCATGTTGTTTCATTTGTTGTTCCAAGAGTTCTGCACGATAACTCACAGCCAATATTACTGTGTCGACACCGGCGGCCACAAGTGCTTCCATCTATAAATCATGATAGTAAATTAGATTAAAGGTATGACATGACCTTGCCAATATCCTTCTTTATGCTTTCGCTAACCTAATAGAATGTGACATGTTTTATACCTGTCTGTTGCTTACTATTCCTCATTTTCGGACTTCCTACAATCAGCTGCAGCACTGACAGCTATTTGTCACAAAATTAAAGTAGAACCAAATCTTTTATAAGTCAGATTATAATAATCACAAGAAGACTGTAGTCGACTTCAAGAGCACTGTTTTGAGCTAGTCGGCTACTTCTAATCCGATCTTAAGATTGCATCAAGTGTAGAACCTATCATAATCTTTTATTGAAAAAAACAAAGTTCTTTATGTCGATTTTTAAATCTATTGTTTGCCAAATTCGGCTGCAATTGGTCCGCTATTTACAGTATAGTTATATATAAATAGAGAAGTCACAAATTTTGATGGACGAAAAATTCAGCAATAAATAAATTATTCAAAAGAAGAAAACTGAATCTTTCACCTGATGAAGCATCATCGGCTTATTGGCAAATTCCACTAGTGGTTTTGGTTGGGTAAGTGTCAACGGTCGTAATCTCGTGCCATATCCACCAACAAGTATTACTGCTTTCATCCTGTAACACTCACATTGATTTTTCAAGTTTACACAGTCGCATCTACTTCAAAGTCATAGTAAGTGATGGACACAATTTAAGCATTTGGTGAGCACTGCTTGATTGTTAGGGGGAAAAGAAAATTAGCAAAGAGAGGAAATGGTAGTTATAATAAGCCAATAACGGAATCTTAGAGTCACCAATCTTTTCATGAAGCATCATTCGTAAAACACAAATGAAACATAGCCAAATGTTACTTCTTCGAATTCCCAAAAATAAAGGTCGTGCGTGAACTGCCAGTGCTTCCCTATTGGAAATCGGTGTAACACTGTCCACGTACATCTATATTATGTATAAGAGCTCTGAATCAACACTCCGACGCTGTACGTTAAATATAGATCTGAAGGATAGTAAGAATCAATAGAAGGATATTAAGCCAGGACTCAGTTTATTAAATTCCATGTTACATATAATGAATATGAGGAATTAGTTGAAACATTCGGTCTTAATATATCCACACAATTAAATTAATAAGATTCAAAGATTAATCATCGGTCACGTAATACCACGTCTCAATGTGAACCTGTTGGAGAAGATATACTACAAGTGGACTATTTCCTTGCGCACGATACAATACCAACCAACTAACGAGATTGCCCACAACCCAAAACAACTCCCAGCACATTTCGCGAATGATCATGTCAAACACGTCACACAATTACGGTAGATCTGTCTCGAGACACGTGGCATCAATTATAGCCCAAATTGGATGTATAAAAAAATTGGAAGGATAAGACAGTGTGTTTGCAGTCAATGCATTCGATACTTCTCATCAAATCATGCCTGTGAGGGCATTTCAGCATAAATGTATTATATTAGGGAAAGTGCTAAAGATGCATTTTACAGTGGTGTGATGCAGCGTTACTGGAATGCATGCAGCGAATGCAGCATGCGCTGCATTGATGGCTATCACTTCGAACAATGAATGGATCACGATGGGAATGCCCGGAGGAATGTCGGTGGTACCTGTTGGGAACGAGTCCCTGCCCCCTTTTTCTGCAAGATTCACTTTTCCTACATCCAGTTCGTCATTCATCTCATGCAATCTCTCTCCGCATCAAACTCCATCCTCTCCCATCCTTCCCTTCCACCCTCACACCTCGCAAATTCATTATCAATTTTAGGAGAAGGAGAATGTAAAGTGGATTGACCCCTTTCACTTTCATTTCCAATCTCCTATGAGTAGGACCCCACCGTACAATTGTAAAATAAGGAGGTGGTTGGAGGGATGAAGTTGCCGCAACCAGTCGGTCTCTATCATTTACCCAAAGTTATGGACGGTCTATTTGGAGATTCAACCGCCCCCAATTTTGTAGACATTTCTGCCTGCTGGCGATACATTATTATTCCGTGATATGCAAAGCAACACACATCCAAGAACCACCTTTTCTATCCCTTCCCTTCCCGCTTCTGAATGCCATTCAGCACTCCTAGAAGTTTCCCCGTAATATTTTGAAACGATAAGTAGTTCTCGTATGCTATTAACTG